TAAGCTTATTCTAAGTAGGTGCTTTAAACCACTGAGCCATCTCACCAGCCCCATGACTGTATAATTCTAATGGCAGCTTTGTGATAGCACTGTTGAGTAGAATTTGGGAATGTTGGATTCAACTTTGATGGAAATAGCCAAGAACTACTTACTTTCTCAGAAAATCTGCAGCTCAGCTGCATCTGAGCCTGGGTACCTGCCTGCCTGCCAGTTACAGCGACAGGACATGTTGCTCTAAGGTCAAAGCCCAGTTCTTCCACATTGCCCCATATCTCATCTTCTTTTGCCTTCTTCAGGGCTTTGTCGCTTCAATTATCCCTTTCCTGTGTGTGGCATTCAGTCTTCCTACTAGAGCATTTGGTAGCTATCTCCGTGGTCCTCCAACTTCCTCTAACCTCTACTCCACGTAAAAATTTCTGAAAGCTATATTTAACTTGCTACTCTGTCTTCCCTTCCCATTCTCATTTCATATACTTCAGTGAGGCTTTCTTCTCCAGGCTTTATTTCATTTACTAAGAAGAAACGATTTTTTTTTTTTTTTTTTAGGGAAGGGTCTACATGGTGTTCAGGGTCTCATTACTAGATCAGACTCATAGTGATCTGCCTGTTTACAGCCTCCCAAGAGCTGGGATTACAGGAGCACGCCACCACACCCAATCTCAATTGCCTTCTCAGTGTGCCCTGGGGGGCAGGGCTGGCACCGCAGGCCCAGGAATCGAACTCGGGCCCCTGCACCTGCTTACAGGTGCTTTAATCCACTGAGCTTTTTGGCCAGCCCTGAAGAAATGATTCAGAGCCCACGTAGTCAGGCTCCTAAGCCTGATCACTCTCTCTCAATCCCTTTGCTGGGCCCCAATCCTGCAGTAGATCTGAGGCTCTGTCCTCAGTTTTCCTCTGTTCTCTACCTGCTATTTCTTCTTAGATTCATGGCTTGAAATATCAATTACTTCTAAATCCATATCTTCTTGTCCTGAGGTCTACATTTACTTAGCCAGGTATCTTTTGACACTTTCACAGAATATTTGATAAAAATGTCTCAAACAGAACTAATACTTTCCCCATCCTCTCAAGTAATTTTTCTCAGTGTATTAGTCACCCTTTTCATTGCTGAGACACCCAAAGTTAAAGGAGGCAAGGTTTACTTAGCTCACAGTCGGTAGAGGTTCCGGTTCATCATCAGCTGGCTCCAAGGCAGGATGGCCTGTCAAGCCAGCATCAGAAAGGAGAAACAGTTTGTGGCAGGCAGAAGACAGCAAAGGCAAGCAAATGAAAAGTGACCAGCACCAAAGCCAGCAGCTCATTCTTTCCATTGTATCTTACCCAGGCCACCCTCAGGCCAGTGGCATTCACACCTCTAATCTTAGCACTGTGAATCAACCCCAGCATACACTCTTAATCCCCGCATCACACACCCTAGATCCAGCCGCCTGGGAGAAGCCCCACCTCTGACTGTGTGAGACTTTGGGGGACATCTAGACAGAAGCCGTAACACCCTTATATCACTGTGAGTGGTATTTCCATTTGGCCAGCTAACTACCTGCATCTAGCAGCAAGTCCTGGAGGTACTTATGGACAGACGTCTTAAGTCTGGCTGCTCTTCACCCTCTCTTCTGCCGCACCCCAGTCCTAGTGATCACTGCCCTGCCGTCTTGGTTCCCAGGACAACCTTCCAATTAGTCTCACAGTACCCTCTCTTGCTTCACCCTGGCCTATTCTCTTCTTCTTCT